ATCCTTTTTTAAGGCGGACTCATTCTGGTTTAATTTTTTAGTGCAGTTGCAGTGTGCTCTGGTAATCTGAATCACACATTTACATTACTTGGCTTCTTTTCCTACAATCTTATTGAAAAACATTTCATTATTTGAAAGGCAGAGTGACAGAAAAATCCATATCCTTTATTCAATGATTCACTCTCCAAATGGCTGCAGCAGGCACGGCTGGGGCAGGCTGCAGCAAGCAGCCAGGAGCCTTTACATGGGTGACAGAGGTCCAAGTTCTTGGGCCATTCACTTTCGGCTTTCTTAGACGTATTAGCAGATTTTAGATGCATTCATTGCTTTCACAGGTGGCAGTTAGCGCCTTTTTTTTCCTACTTCTTTGTTTTTTTTGTTCTGTTCGCCCCACCCCCTTTTAGAAGGCTGATCAAGTTAAAATATTTTCTAAAATGTTCTCTGAAGTATTATAGTATTTTGAATATTCTTGTTTCACTCTTCTATAATTTCTTAAACTGATTTCAGGAACCCTATTATGCCTTAAAGTTGAGGACCCCAAAAATGTTTATGTAGACTACACTGTCAATATTATGTTAGAAATTAAAAGTGAAAAATTCTTCTGAAAATAAAAAGGAATCATTTACACTGGAGCACTTCAGAATGTTCTGACAAGTTTGGGAGCAGCATGTCGACAGGCCCCACAGGGCAGTGCCCAGGTTCCACTGGCAGCTCTGGCTTCTGATTCCAGCTTCTTGTCAGAGCAGACTTTATGAGAAAGTGGTGATGACCACTGGGGTAGAAACCACATAGTCTCTCTGGCTGGGAACTAGTTCCTCCGCCTTCCCGCTGGTACTCCCCCTGGTGGTGGGTGTGAAATAGCACTATGGTAGATTCTGGTTCACTAAAACTAAGGGTTAGTTGAGCACAATTTGCTATGTTTCTAACTAGTATCCAGTAGTGATACCAGTGCTGCTGCTGAAAGACTGTAGCCAGAATATCAAGACACTAAATTACCTAGTTCCATCTAAAACAAGGCATTCTTCACTAATATTACCTAACCCAGTTCTGAAAGTCAGATACAGAATTAACATATTTTTAAGTTTAAAGTAGAAAAAACAATAAATTCTACCCTTCAATCCTAAAGAGCTTCCCTAACTATGATGAAACTGACACACTATTTAAAAATAACATTCAAGGGCCCAGCACAGTGGCACAGTGGTTAAGGTCCTCGCCTTGCACGCCCGGGATCCCATATGGGCACCGGTTCTATCCCGGCAGCCCCACTTCCCATCCAGCTCCCTGCCTGTGGCCCAGGAAGGACGACCCAAAGCTTTGGGACCCTGCGCCTGCTTGGGAGACCCGGAAGAGGCTCCTGGCTTCAGATCGGCATAGTATCGGCCATTGTGCTCACTTGGGGAGTGAATCATCGGACAGAAGATCTTCCTCTCTGTCTCTCCTCTCTGTATATCCGCCTTTCCAATAAAAAAAATAATAAAAACAAATCTTTAAAAAAAATAACATTCAACACAGGGGTAGAGCAGGCTTTACTCACACTAGTGTGATGTGGAGCACTCTAAGAGACTTGCCAGGAAGTGGTAGAGCTTTTAAGCTCAGAGCTTTTAAGCTTTCCTTCTCTCTCTCTTTTTTTAAGGTTCACTCATTTACTTATTTGAAAGGTAGAGCAACAGAGTAAGGGAAAGAGAGAAGAAGAGAGGAGAGATTCCCCAAAAACCCACAACAGCTAGAGCCAAGCCAGGATCCTGGAATTGATTCCGAGGCTGCCAAATGAGAGACAGAGGCCCAAGTACTTGAACCATTACCTGCTACCCACCAAGACACTCATTCAAGGAAGCCAGAACTGGAAGCAGGGTTGGGGCTCAAACCCAGGCACTTTGATATGCAATATACTATTTTATTAAGCTCTGTTTCCAAAAACCAGCTCCAAGCCAGATTTTTGTTCTATCAACTAACACCAGATGTCGCAATAGACTACAAGCAGAAAGAGACTTCAGGTATCTTCTATTGAACCAGAAATTAGAGGTTAGTAAAATCATTAATGTTTTTGAAATATGGTTACTTTACTTACAATGGGTTTAAATGAATTAATACTATTAAATTTCTGATTTAACTTTTGTAAAAAAAAAATTTCTTGTTTCTTTCTGCTGTCTTCCTAGGCACATTAGTAGAAAGCTGGATAGGAAGTGAAGCAGCAGGGACTCAAAGTGGTACTCCACTATGGGATGCTGGCATGGCAAGCAGCAGCTTAATAAACTATGTCACAAGGATGAGACTTAATTCCTACTACAGTAAATATTTACAGAAATAAGCATAACTTAACAGATTTTCTGAGTTTTCAATCATTTTTAAGAATATACAAGGGTCTTAAGATCAAAATGTTTGGAAAATGTTGGAGTTAGCACTATGGCACAGTGAGACAAGCCACCACCTCTAATACTGGCATTCCATATGAGTGCTGGGTCTTGTCCCCACTGCTCCACTTCCCATCTAGCTCCTTGCTAATATGCCTGCAAAGGCAGCAGACAGCCCAAGTGTCTAGGTTCCTCTTACCCATGTGGGACACCCAGAAGTAGTTCCTGGCTTCAAGGCCAGCCCCAGCCACTGTGGCTATGTGGAGAGTAAACTACCAGACAGAAAATTTCTCTCTGTCTCTCCCTCTCTCTGTCTTTCAAATAAACAAACATATACATATTTTAAGATCGAATTTGTTTTTATTGGAAAGGCAAATATACAGAGGAGAGAAACAGAGAAATATCTTCCTTCCATTTTATTTATTTTATTACCCAAATGACCACAATGTCTGGAGCTGATCTATCTGATCTGAAGCCAGGAGCCAGGAGCTTCTGCAGCGCCTCCTACACAGGTGTAGGGTCTCAAGGTCCTGGGCCATGCTCCACTGCTTTTCCATGTCACAAGCAGGGAGCTGGATAGGAAATGGAGCAGCTGGGACATGCACCAGCACCATATGGGATCCCTGAGCTTGCAGGGGGAGGATTGAGCTAATAAGCCATCACTTTAAAAACCAACTCTTTTTTTAAAAGCAAAAAAAGAAAAATTATTGTGCTAGAGTACTGAGGAAGACATTGGAAATCCAGAAAAAAGATAGACTCACCTTTTAACTCATGAATGCTCAACTTAATGAATCATCCAATCTAGCTTAATAAATGCAGACACAGACTGAAAGGTTGTCATAATGATTAGAAGGGAAAAATGGAAATGTAACGCAGGAAGCTTTGGTAAGGATAAAAGTTACCCAGAGAGCAATGTTTAATCCATGGTTTTAAAGGTAAAATGCAGAGGCATATATAACTACTGAAGGAATTTCTTGACAATCCCTTCTATCAGTGGATAAATACTGTCTATCTTGTGCCAGTGCTTGCTGTATTTGGAAATTCCAGTATGAAATAAGATCTTGTTTCATGTTTCTCACACTCCAATGGGAGAGAAAAGCAAATAAACCATACTAATTCAGGGTTCTGATTATTCTAGTAAGAGAGATGGATACTGGTGCTATAAAGTCTAGGATGTTCAGAAAGTCAAGGTTCTCATCAGATCAACTGCCCCACAATTCCAGCAGTAGGGTCTAGATATCAGTAGATATTTAATATACAATGCTAAAAGCACAGATAAAAACTACAATAAGGAATTTAGAGTATCCATTTTTAAGAAGTCATTTAAAGTGAACACACACATGCACACACACACAAGCAGAGTGGGAGAGGGGGAGTAAGGGAGAGATACAGACAACTCTCCCATCTGCTGGCTCGCTCCTCAATTCCTATAATGCCCACCGCTAGGTCAGGCTAAAGCTGGACACTGGGAATTCAATCAGTCTCCAAGTGGGTTGCATGGACCCAACTACTGGAACCATCATCTGCTACTGCTCAGTGTCTGGCACCGGCAGGAAGCTGCCATCAGGGAGCCTGATAATCTGGGAGGGCAAATGTCCATCCCTGGATTTCACTTTCAATCCAAGTCATTAAAGAATTTACTTCTTAAAAACATTTCCTTCTAAAAGGATGACTGAATATTCAAAAAATCCTGTTAACAAACTGAATGAGCATTTTTCAGAGAAGATACATTGGATGGAAGCTTAGCAGTCAGATACTGATGGCCAATAGAGTTTTCAGACACAACAAATCAATATATGTAAACAAAACAAAGGGAAAAGAAAATCTACATTCACAGTACATACACAGTACACACACTTTACAATTGGATCACTCTATTTACTTATTCATGAACACTGCCAACAAATGTACATTATGTACAAAAGGTTGATTTATTCAGAACTTAAATTTTATCCTCAACTGATCTAAACCTAAACTGCAAGCCTAATATTTTTAATTACAATAACTTGTTGAAAGTTTAAAGTTGATGTCACCTGAAGCATTCAAGCAAAATATGGGTCATAATAAATTGATACAGGAAAACAGGAGTAAATAAAGATTGTTCTAATTAAAGCACATAATTCAAGTTTGAATTACGCTAACTCATTAACTTGGTAATCATTAAGTAATGTTCACTGGTCTTTAACTTCAACAGTACCCTGCAACTCACCAAGTTCTTTCGATTGCAAGCATTCTTGTCACTTTCCCTGACAGAAAAACAACACTGCAGGTTATTTTAACCTTAGTGTTGCTGGCTTTTTGAAGGAAGAGTGTGATAAACATGCCCACATCTCTATCAGAAGTGGGAAAAATCTGGCTCTACTTCTCTCATTTCCATCTGCTGCCTGTAGGCATTTTGAGTTCATGAGACAATAACATAACATTAGTGTGAAGTCCGTAGTCCTAGTTGAAAAGCTTTTTAATATATTTCTTACCTGACAAGAAAAATGATATATACCAGGTACTTTTATAGTAAAATGGAATATTTGGTAGAGCTATTGTAATACATTAGTCTCAAATAAATGACTGAAAAGATAGAAAACCCAGTGCAAATCCACTACAATCAAGGTTAGTGTAGAGTTAACACACATAATTGTAACAGAAATTTACCTTTTAGTAGGTGATTCAGGTCCATGGTGTCATGTAAGACTTTCTGTTTGTACCTATGGTCTGAACTGGAATCTAACACTGAAGACTTCGAGGCCAGACCAGGCTCAAGCCTTTCTTTTCCTTTTTTCACAGTTTTCAAACACCTTGAATGGTTTTTTAAATCCTCAACATCTTCATATATTTCATGCTTCACATTTTCTTGCCTTTTAACTTTCACTTTTTGGTCATTTGATGAGCCCAGTTCAAAAGACTGAGCAGGGCTGATGTCTGGTGTTGATAAAGGAGTTACGTCCGTGACAGTATCTTCAGATTCCTCAGTGTAGTCTCCGACTTTAGGCTTAGTAGTTGAAGGTTGTTTTCCTGCTGATTTTAACTCTGATTTATACATCTGCTTTGGCGATAAGAGGGTTACACTAGGTACCTGTTTCTTTGATGATGGAGAGGAATCAGGTTTAGAGATATCAGACCCTGCATCTGAACAATCTGTACCTGAACTTGAAGATGAAGAGGACAAAGAGGAGGAGGAGGAAGAACTAACTTTGGAAAACTTTCTACTTATGCTTTTTTTCAAGCTATTTGATGGCCTGGCTGACCTGGACCTCACGGGACGCTTTCTCCCGTCATCACTGCTCTCCTCTCCGTCTGTGAAATAATCATCCTCACCATCTTTGGCAGTTTTGAGGATTCTACGAGGCATGGGCAAGTGTATTTTATGTTCTATTATATTATCACACGATGTTTCTGATTTTGAAGAAGTGGTCGATAAAGAACTTCCAATTTGTGTATCACTTTCTACTGGGCTTTCCTCTAGGGCAATTTTTGTTTTCCTTTCATTTCCTTTATCGGTGAGATAATCTTCATTTATTTGTATTCCCAACCCCACGTTTACATTTTCTGTACCTTTACCTATTCTCTCTTTAGAATCATCATTTTGCTTGTCAAAAGCTGAATTACTTTCACATTTCTTTGTTTCTTCGAAGTCACTGTCAAAGAAAGAATGGTCCACTTCACCTTCTGATATATCTCCGAACCGATCCATGATATCAAAAATATATCTGAAAAGGAGTGAAAAGTAGTTTCCAAGTAGTTTTCAATTTTATATAAATGTGTAATTAATGGCAAATAGTATAATGCATAATTTTCTCCAGCTGAGAAATCTCATCAATACATGAGGAGAAAATTTTGTAAGTTAACAAATAACTCAGCAAATTAATGGTAGGCAGGGCTTAGTAGTGGGACCAAGTTGTATCAATCTTTCAAAAAACAAATCAGTCCGATTGTTAAGCTCACTAAAAAATAACTGATCATCAAGGCAAACAAATGTGGGCAGCCAGCGACTGTTCAGAGAAGTCTGCCTTCTAGTAAATTAAATAGTGAAAGAGTTAAGAATGGTATTAACACTAGCTAAGTATGTCCAGTTTTCTTGCAGTAATATATTGAAGATTAGTAAATTTTCACACTTTTTGTCTCAGTCCTGTTTCTTTACTCCAGTTAATGAGGAAGAAGCAGGAAAACAAAGATATGATGCTCATTAAAACTAACAGCTCCTGTCCAACCCTTCTTAAAGAGGGTGTGTCTCTAAGACACACCTAGACTGCACAAACAGCCTGGAATGAAGCTTCTGCACATTTAACGAACCACGACATCCATGACATACAAACGACAGTGAGCGAAGAGTAGATATGTCTCACTGAGTTAAGGCAATGTGGTGTACGAGGGATTTCACAGCAGATGACCAATGCTACATAAAATGGAAAAATCAACATGTATGATTTAGACTGTGAACTTAAATATTAGAAAGAATGAATTAAAATGTTCAAAGCGGCGGCTTCTAGCATGTGGTACAGCGATCACTGTTTTTGTTGTAGGTCTTAAACTACTCTCTGTCTATGGGCATATACATGTACTACAGTGATTTTTTTTTATTTAAACTTTTTAAACCTGAAATGGTTGGAGTTCAGAACATCACTATAAAGACATTTCTTTTACCACATTTGTAATCTCTGTCTATTGTGACGTAAGAAACAATTCCATATGATAATAGTAACAAAATACCAATACTCTTGAGTTCAGAGTTTGATCTTCAATACTATTCTCTCCATTAAAAAACAGAGAGGAGAAGAGAAGGGAGAAAGGGAGCACTTTCATCCTGTGGCTCACTCCCCAAATGGCTGCAATGGCTAGGACGAAGCCAAGAGCCAAGAACTTGATCTGGGTCTCCCAGGTGGATGCAACGGCCCAAGAATTGAGCCATCTTCTGCTACTTCCCCAGGTGCTTGAGAGAGAGCTGGATGGAAAGGGAGCAGCTGGGATTCAAACCAGTGCTCATATGAAATGCCAGTGTATCAGGAGGTGGCTTAATATACACCATGCCACAACACTGACCCTGAGAAAATGATATCATCTACAGTATTTTTTATTGTATTAGGGGCTGTTCTGCTGGCAAGCCAAGTCAAGCTGCCACTTGCAATGTTGGCTTCCCATGAATGCCAGTTTGTGTCCCAGCTGTTCCACTTCTGATCCAGCTTCATGCTAATGGCCTAGGAAAAGCAGCAGAGGATGGTTCAAGTACTTTGGGCCCTTGACACCCATGCAGGAGACCTGGAGGAAGAAACCCCTGACTCCTGGCTTCTGCCTGGCCCAGCTTTAGCCATTGTTTATCCTTCCCTTTATAACTTTGCCTTTAAAATAAATAAATAAATAAAGTTTCTCTTTAGAGGAACAATCTGTAACAACCCCACTGAATTTCTGGTATTTCCTTTACTTTTACTGTGGAAGTCTGCTCAGTGCTTCAAAAAAGAATGAACTGAATCAAGTATCCAAGCTCAAAACTCAGCCCTGCACTTGAGGGTGTGTGACCTTGACCATACATACAAGGATGTTCATATCAGCACTGATAGCAATTAGAAACAACCTCAAGGTCTATTAAGAGGAAAATGGAAATCTCCAAAGATGATGATTGAAGAAGGCAGAACTAGATGAGTAACAATGTAACTGTATGAAATATAGGACCATTGTTGTAGCATAGCATCCTAAGCCTCCACCTGTGATGCTAGCATTCCATATGGTTCTAGTTTGGACTTCTCCATTTTTGAACTTATCTCCTTGTTAATACACCTGAGAAGAGTAAAAAGATGGCCCATGCCATCCCCGTGGAGGACATGTAATGGCCTGGCCCAGCCAAAGCTGTTATGGTCATTTGGGAGTGAACCAGTGGATGGAAGATCTTACTCTCTGGAAGATCCCTCTCTGAAACTCTGCCTTTAAAACTTAAAAAAATGGGCTCAGCGCGGTGGCGCAGTGATTAAGGTCCTTGCCTTGCATGCCCGGGATCCCATATGGGCGCCGGTTCTAATCCAGGCAGCCCCACTTCCCATCCAGCTCCCTGCTTGTGGCCTGGGAAAGCAGTGGAGGATGGCCCAAAAGGCTTGGGACCCTGCACCCGCGTGGGAGACCTGGAAGAGGCTCCTGGCTTCAGATCGGCATAGCATCAGCCGTTGCGCTCACTTGGGGAGTGAATCATCGGACGGAAGATATTCCTCTCCGTCTCTCCTCCTCTCTGTATATCCACCTTTCCAATAAAAATAAAATAAATCTTAAAAAAAAACTTAAAAAAAAGTAAAACATACAACAAAACTATCTTTGTGGGAAAAAGGTTATGAGTGGCAGGGAAGGGTGAAGATGGGGAGGAATTCAGGCTTGCGGCAAGGTCATTCTGAGGCACCACATCCACAAAGAGTACAGCTGATCCTTACCAACCCCGTTCTGCCCACTTCGAAAACAACACTGAAACAGCCACTTAACAGTGGACACCCATACTAACCTACCTAGAAACAAAATGTCAAGGGCTGACATAAATAAGTTGTGGTTATTGTTTTTTCCTCTGTCACACGTTTTAAAAATGAGGAAGCAATAAGAAAATTTTAGTAAGTTTCTTAAGCAAACAGCTCCAAAGCACAGCCCAGAGCAATACTTAATCAAGTCAATCATAATCTAATGTAAAATTAATTCAGTAGGTCATGCCATTAAAAAAAGAATACACAGTAAAACAGTGCATACCGTGCATACCACATTTTAAAATTAATGTCTCATGAAGCTTGTTTCCATTAGTAAAGCACACTATATGTTCATGGGCTTGATATCAAACCCATCTCTGAGAAGGTCTCAGCCAACTGTGTGCATTGCCGCTGCTCATGCAGGTGACAAGTTGTGACCCAAAAGCAACACACTATGACGGTATGAAAATGGGATCGAAATGTAAACTTTGAACAGCCCCAGTGTCAAATGTCATCAAAAACAGAGTTTCAGAAAAGCTGTAATTTAAACTCTAAGTTCAACAGGAGTATTTTCCTAAACTCTGAAGAAAATGCAAAGCTAAAATTGTTGTATTTACAATGGATGGCCAGAATCTGAAGAAATGAAGATATCTTAAATATAAAGAGTAATTTTACCAAGTTATAATAAAAACTAAATGTTTTCATTTGTGCTTTGCCCAAAGTTGGCACATCTTTACATAAAACTTATTAGTAGACATAAGACTACTCCTCTAAATGTTTGATTACTATTGGAAAATATATTGATACAAACGCTTGAATTTTATTAATAATTTAAAAAATTAATCATCTAAATCATTGTAAGTCCCATGTATCAAAAAAACTTGCATTGATATAAAACTACTGGGGGCCAGCATGATGGCTCAACTGGCTAATCCTCTTCCTATAAGCCCTGGCATTCCATATGGGTGCCCATTCATGTCTCAGGCTGTTTCACTTTCCATCCAGTCCCCAGCATATGGACTGGGAAAGCAGTGGAAGACGGCCCAAAGCCTTGGGACCCTGCACCAGTGTGGGAGACCTGCAAGAGGCTCCTGGCAGCAGATCAGCTCAATTCTGGCTGTTGCAGCTGTTTGGGAAGTGAACCTGTGGATGGAAGATCTTCAACTCTTGTTCTCTTAGTGGATTTCACTTTCCAATAAAAACATATAAATCCTAAAAAAAAAAAAAAAGAAAAAAAAAAGGAAATAGGGCCAGGTGTGATGGCTTAGATGCTAAATCCTTGCCTTGCAAGCTCAGGATCCCATATGGGTGCCCTTCATATCCCGGCAGCCCCACTTCCCATCCAGCTCCTGTCTGTGGCCTGGGAAAGCGGTAGAGGATGGCCCAAAGCCTTGGGACCCTGCACCTGCATGGGAAACCCGGAAGAAACTCCTAGCTTCAGTTCGGCTCAGTTCTCATCATTGCAGCCACTTGAGAAGTAATCAGTAGATGGAAGATCTTTCCTCTCTATAAATCTGATCTGCCTTTCCAATAAAAATAAATAAATCTTTAAAAATTATCAGCATGAACAAGCCTCACTTGTGCGAAGTTTTTCTACTACTAGCAGTTACACGTAGTGTTTACTGTGTGACAGCATTGTTCCAAACACAACTTTTTTTTTTAAAGATTTATTTTTATTAGTTTTTTATTGGAAAGGCGGATATACAGAGGAGAGACAGAGAGGAAGATCTTCCATCCGATGATTCACTCCCCAAGTGAGCACAACGGCCAATGCTATGCTGATCTGAAGCCAGGAGCCTCTTCCGGGTCTCCCACGCGGGTGCAGGGTCCCAGAGCTTTGGGCCGTCCTCAACTGCTCTCCCGGGCCACAGGCAGGGAGCTGGAAGGGAAGCGGGACTGCCGGGATAGAACCGGCGCCCATATGGGTTCCCGGGCATGCAAGGCGAGGACCTTAACCACTGCGCCACCGCGCCGGGCCCTCCAAACACAACTTTAAAGGTTTCATCACTCCTGTTCGAGCAAACTGAAGCAGAATGAGAACTTATCCAAAGTCACATAGCTAGTAAAGGGCACAGCGAGGATTCTAAAAGCAGGCATACACTAAGGCTCATGTTTTCTATTTCATTTTAATTTATCTGAAAGGCAGAGTTACAGATAGAAAGAGCTCTTCCACTGCTAGTTTATTCCCCCAAAATCCTAATAGGGAGGCATATTCCCAAACAGCCAAAGCAACAGCCAGACACACAATGGACAGCAAAGAGGGAAGGAGTGTCTAGGATTCCTGCTTAAGAAGATTCAAGGGCTAGTACCATGGTGCAGGGGGGCTGGGCCTCTCCACGGGCAGCACCAGCACCCCACATGGGCGCCAGGAAGGTTCTGGTCCTGCAGACAAGGCTGGCACTGAGCTGGACCTGCATGGGCCAACCTTGCTGGGTGCCCTGACTTTCACAGCTCCCTCACCCGCTTCCCTTCTCATGCTTTACTACCCCCTCCACAGATCTAAATCCTTCCTCATTTGGGTCATCTCCACGACTTTTAATGTTTTGTTAAAAAAAAAAAAAGGCTATCAACTTTTTAGGCCTTATTCACTTCTTTGGGTCTTCTTTTCCAGGAAGTCCTGTCACAGAAAAATTAAACTCAAGTACAATCTGCCTGACTCTCCTGTTAATTGTTAATTTCCAGGGCTTAAGCAACAGAACCTATAAGACAGACGAAAGTATTTTTTTTTAATGTGTGTATGTGTTTGAAATAAGCAACAGAGGAGATATACATAGAAAAGTTAGGGGGTGGAGGAGAGGGGACAGGGGCTGATCTATCTTTCAACTGGCTCACTCCCTGAAACGCCTTCGACAGACAGGGTGATGGCTCCAGACGAGCATCTCGAGCCAGGTCTCCCACACAGGCTGCAGGAAAAGTGCCCGAGCTGCCACCCAGGTGCCTGAGGAGGAAGCTGGATAGGAAGCAGGCACAAAGCAGGCTTCTAAGCCAGACACTCCTGTAGGGAATACTGGTGTCCCAAGCAGCAGGAGCTGCACCTGCAGTGCTGCTGGCGCACAAGGCCTGCCCCAAGCAAGTCTCTTCTCCCTTCCTTACACTTGTCTCCTTACAGACTGAGAGCTGCTAATGTTTGCTCATCCTCACCAGTCAAATAGTGTTTACCTCGCAAAGGAGCCTGGAGTTACAACATTTAAGATTGAGCTCCGATTCCGTAGTTGCTCTTTGCTAACTACATAGAAAACTCACCTATTCTCCAATTTCAGTGACCTGCCTTCTTCCCTCCCCCTCTCCAGACACACCACCCTCTGCCCTATCTTCCCTTCTCTGCAGGTCCAGGAGGTGGCCAGCTCTCTGGCTAAGTGGCCACCATTCCTGAGAGGTGGTGCCCAGCTCAGGGCAGGGTGGCCTTTCAGGCAATTTTTATTCATAATACCCACCAATTATTTAAGGATTTCAGCACTCATGTAGCTTAACTCAGTTTACACGGATATATGCGATATTCTCCTCCACTATGCCATCCTTTTGATAATATTTACCTCAATGTCCACGAGGGTCCAATTCACACAGGAGTCTAAATAAGAGAAACGGTGGCTTAAATAAATAAGGACACTCTTACTGTGAGCTGGCAAAGGGCAAAAATTTAAATGATCACTAATCTGGCCATGGCACCTCCCTGGTGCTTAATCAACACAGGTGTTTTTTTTTTTCTCCAAGGCTGCCTGGGAGTCACTTGGACAGTCACCATGTGTCCAGCAACGAGAACACTACTGCTTCCCCGACAGCTCAGGAAAACCGGCGGAGACAATCATTTTTTATAACTGCGATCTTACGTTTCTGCGGTCCTCAAGGAGATGCTGGATGCGTCCCCGAAACTCTTGGACCAAAGCAGACACCTGTCTTCCTGGAACTCGGGGTTCACCTCACGACCCCCTCAGGCTCTCGGAGGCAGCAGAAGGTTAAACACAGCTGTCCCCTCGAGCTTGGAGGTCCAGGTTCAAGCCCCGCAGAGGTGGGCGTGGTGGGAAGCCGAGTCACCGGCCGAGACCACGCCTCAGTTCCGAGCCGACCCCGACGCCCCCACCCCCACCGCGGCACGCCACCCCGAATGTGTGCGGAGGGCAGGACCGGCCCTTCCCGTCCGGAGCCCCACCGGCCGCGGGCTCGGACGTCTTTGTTGTGGTTACCCCGCGGCGCCAGGGGCCGGCCGGGCGGAGCGAGGGGCCGGGGACTCGGCCTGGCCTTCCCGACCTCCCGCGCCGGCCGGCTTCGTTAGGACCAACCCCGAGAGCTCGCCGCCTGCTTGGGCTTCCGGAGGGGAGGGGGCGGCAGAAACGGACCGCGAGCGCGGTGGGGGTGGGGTGGCGGGCGCGCCGCGGGCCGCACCGACCGGGGGAGGGGGTCCCCTCCCGAGCACGACGCTCACCTGGCAGCCCTGTCCACTCCCGCCCCTCGCGAGACGCCCCTGGCCTTCCGAGGCTCGCGCCCGTGCCCGCGCGCGCTCCCGCAGGCCCAGCACGCGGCTCCCGGCGGCGCGCGCGCGCGCGCCCGAGCTGCCCTGGCCGCCCGCGGCTTCCGGAGGCGGAGGGAGCGGAAAAGGAAAGTGAGGGCCACGGGGTGGCTGGCGAGCGCTCGCGCGGCGGGCGGGGCGGCTCGGCTGTGCCTCCCCGCGCGGCCGCCCACGCCGCACGTCACAGAGGGCGGCCGGGAGAGCCCAGCGGGAACCGGGCTCGCCGACCGGACCGGAGTGCCCCGGCCCCGCTGCCTAGTCGATGGGTGTTAACGGCACGGTGGGTAGGCCCGGTGGTTCCCTTGGGAAATCTTGTAAAATGCATACAAACATAAGTAGACCAACACTAGGATGAATGAGAGGTTAATTGTATTTTTAGAGTAGCCACAAATTCGGTTCTTGCCAGTTGGTAGGTGGGCCGATGGGGCTGATGATCCATTGGAAAGTCATTGTAGGCTAAACAATTTGAGAAAGTGTTTTGTTTTTGCAGTAGAATAGACTGAATGCTAGAATTTCTTGAGTTGTCAAGCACACAGTAGCTATGAGGGCACCCCTCAGTGCCCTCCACCTTCACCTCCAGGACGCGGGAATGGGTGACCTTATTGCCAAGGGGATTTGGCCAATGTGATGAAAGCTCAAAATGAGATTAAGCTGGATTTATCTAGTGGGGCCACAGTGATCCCAGGGGTCCTGGCTCTGGGGAGGCGGGAGGCACAGTCACCAGGGGGAGCTGCAAACCCAAAAGCAAGAGGTTGGAGTTACCTAAGGAGGTGGTGAGCCCAAGAAGGCAGGCAGCCTCCTGCAGGGCTGAGGAAGACCGGGTCATCCTCTCCCAACGCGGACCTGCCAGTTCCTGGTGGTAGGTGTCTCGCCTCCAGAAGTGCACGGTGATACATTTATGTTGTTCTCAGCTCCTACTAAGTTTGTAGTGGCTTGTAGGACGGGAATACCATCCATCCTCAATGTTGTTTACATGACAGTATGAAATTAGGAAATTGTTTTAACTGTAACCTAGTAAGAAATTGTCTCTATTCTTCTTCACAATACATCTTGTAGTTTACCTACAGAATCACGTGTGTCTTCTTTTTTTCAGCCAAAAGAAAGGATTTCATTCATTCTAATAAATGATGCTATATGTTGGCACTAAGGACCTGAGAGGATCGACTCTGGCAAAAAGTTTATTATCCCGGGTACTTAAGCAGACATTTCTCCAAAGAAGATAATACAAATGGCCAATCAGTCCATGAAAAGATACCCAGCATTGCTGATCACTGCAGAAATGCAAACCCAAACCATAATGAGATAGTACTTCACACCCTCGAAAATGGCTATTGTTAAAAACCAGAAAATGACGAGGATGGCCAGGATGTGGGGCGATTGGAACCCTTTCTTTGGCTTGCGGGAATGTCCAGTAGCACAGCTACAGTAGGAAATGTATGGAGTCATGTGACCCAGCCATTCCACTTCTAGATACACACCCAAAGAATTGGATATCTCAAAAAGATACTTATAAGCCCATGTTCATAGCTACATTATTTATTATAGCCAAAAGGCTAAAGCTACCTGTGTCCATTAACAAAGCAAAAAAAAAAAGTGTTAAAATACTGTAAATACAATGGAGTGCAGCCCAGACATACAGTGGAATCTTGATATGTTCTCAAGCAACGTGGATGAATGGAAGCGAGAGTTTCCATGTGTGGATACAGAAGTTCTGGAGGTGATCATGACAAGGGCTGTGCAACAGTAGGGCAAGCCCTTCCTGCTGCTTGTCTCTGTGTTTATTTTTTGCAATTAGAACATGAAAAATATTAAGAAATTTACTGTATCAGAACAGTATGACATTTGGGGGGCAACCATGAATTTGTACGTTGTCTTGTCCTGGGTTCTTAGGGAAAAATGCATCAAACGTTGAGACAGAAATCAAAGTATGTCTACTAACATTGCAGCTTTTTTGTTTTAAAGATTTATTTACTTGAAAGGCAGCATTACAGAGTTAGAGGGGCAGACAGAACTTCCATCCACTTGGTCACCCCCAAGATGGCCACACAGCCATGGCTGACCCAGGCTGAAGTCAGCAGCCAGGAGGTTCTTCCAAATCTCCTACGTGCATGGTAGAGACCCAAGCATGTGGGCCACCATCTTCCACTGCTTTTCCCAGGCCATTAGCAGGGAGTTGGATTAGAAGTGGAGCAGCCGGGACTTGAGTCAGCATTCATTTGTGATGCTGGCATTGCAGGCTGCTTTACTTGCTGCACCATAATGCTGGCTTCATTTCAAACTTTTTAGAATATAGGTGCCATTCTGGTATTAAGAGAAAAATAAAAACTTCATGAAGCATGTTATGATAGCCTGTACAAATGTGCTGGAAATAAATATCTCTAACTTGCTGTTTAATCCTTAGGTTAGTTAGGCTCTGCATGAAGTGCCGGGAAGGAGCAGCTAGATTCTAATTTAAAACTAGCTAGGTCTCTATTAGGACCTCCTGATCCCAGTCACTTCCTAGTAACCCTTATCTTAACCTCAGCTCTCTTTTTCACGCCGCAAGCAGGATCGAGGTGAGTGTCACTGCTGAGCACTAACTTTGAGGAGTTACATGTCTTCAGCTCCGTGTTACTCCTGGGAACAACGTACTGATGTATGGGAAAGACCATGATCTTAAGCTTTTCAGATTGGGCTGTCAACAAAATCTCAGACCAATGTCCCCTTTACTGGTGGAAGTTACAATCACTTAGCACTTGTCCAGGCATGGCAGTGGGGAGGCTCGTCAAAGTGCTGGTTTTCTCACAAACAGTAGTAAATACTTTCAAACATGGAATCTTAAGTCATAGGCTCATGAATTTAAACCCCTTTTCCCTCCTGATGCATGTATGGGAACGACTAAATCAAGAGTTTTTAAGAAGCACCAAGGCATAGTGGCTAAATGCACAGGCTCTGGAACTAACCCACGTAGAGGGGTGCTCACTTCTCAGCTCTGATATTACCTTTGTACTGTTGGGCAAGGTGTCATCCCTCTTGTGCCTCACTTTCGCCATGTGTGTAGGTGGAGGTCATGGCATGTATTAGAGGGGTAGCAGTAATTAAATGGATTATATCTAGCACTTAGAACAGTATGTGGTACACAGTTAAGTATCCATACAGTTATTGTTAGCCATGAGTTTACATTGGAAAAATGTATAAAACTTTAGGCATTGTGCCTTTGGCATGTAAATGATGATAAAAATGACTGTTGGCAATAACAAGCTATCATGATTTGAAATAATTTAGACTTGTAGCCAATCCTTTTGAGATGCTCCAAAGGACTGAATGGTAACAACTATTTTGGAGACAAAAGATTTCTTCAAAATCAATTATGCTTTATTTTAAACAGGAGAGAACAGGAACTGCTTCTTTCATAATTTTTAACTTAAGTTATAAGAGAATGAAGACCCATGAATTGCCAATTCAAAATTGAAAAAGCAAAGCTCTATAAGATGGCAAATGTGAACATATTTATTTTTATGTAGAAATATGCAATAAGTCACTATGTTATATAAATTTGTTGGGGACATATGGTAAGCTAAATGTTAGAGGTCGTTTTATGAGACTTTACTTTTCCTCCCACTTAAAATTCATCCCACGGAATTGTATTATGAAGACATGGACTGAATATAAAAGTGGCCCATGGACTATGAATATCTATGCCCACTAGTAATAACCTCTTGGGTAATACATTTGTTTTAAAACAATCAATATCCACTAAATATTTTATTTCCTTCATAGTCATATACTTGTCCTTTTTTTGCAATGGCAATTAAAATGTTGATTCCTCTTCAAGACCACAATTTGTAAGGTATAGATCCATGTATTGGAAAATCGTAGTACTTTTAAAATACTGAAGTTGTTTATTAGAGCTACATGGAAAAGGGTTCGTGGGCTGTTTTTATTTATTTTTTTTTTCCAGTTTTCTTGCCTTTAGGTATTCCCCACATCCTGTGTTTTTCATTGCTCCCCTGAACTTTTTAACCCTTTCTTCTTTTCACTCTTGATTTGCCTTCTCTAGTCTGTCATTCTCCCCCCTTTTAAACTAAACAATCTTCAGTCCTCCCAGCATGCTCTTATTTCCACTGTCCGCTAAGACACCCCCTCTGCTTTGACTTAGCAGTAATTACCAGGGTTTCTGTGGCATAGCCTCACACCGCAAGCACCATCTCAGAAAGCATTATGTGAACAGGCAGGGAAATGGGGTAAAAAGGTATTCTCCCAACTATTTAGTCCACTTCCCTTTGCGTGGATAACAGCATTTACCCGGAGCTGGCAACAAAAAGCCAGAATAGGAGCCAAAGTTGACTGTGCCAGCTCCGTGTGCTCTCTGGCACCAGGCCGACCTCTAGGCCTTTCCATAACTACGAATTGCAGGCTTCACTTAGTCACATTCTCCGAGTCAGGTGGGAAAGCGAAGGTTGCGAGCAACTATGAAAAAGTGAGGGTCAAGGATGGTTTACCGTGGAACCTAAATAGAGGGAAGTGACAAGGCCGAAATTCGGGGGTGTGTGAGCAAAGGCGAGGAGGTTACTTTTCCGTGGTGAGCAAAGAACAGGGATTAAGGGATCACCTGGGTTCGAGGATTACAAACGCTTCGGACACCTGCAGCAAAATTTTCCATCGACAGACGGCATCCTGGCGGGGGGAGGGGAAGGAGGGCGGAGGGAAGCGACTGCGGGAGCGCGGGAAATGGCACTGCCCGCCGCGATTGGTCGCAGCGGGTCCCGGGGGCAGCGGCCGGCCGGACCCCGCCCCGCGCCGTGGGTGGGCGGCGGGGCCCGGCACCTCCCAGCTGTCACTCAGAGGCCGGGTGGCTCTCCGCCCCTTGCCTGACACGCACTTCGGGGCCGCCCCCGCCCCCGCCCCGCGTCAGCCTTCGCCCGCCTCAGTCACAACACGGGCCGGCTACCTGGGTGCGCCCGGCCCCGGCAGCTGCGGGCCCGGCGCCGGCGGGCGGCGCTGAGGGGTCGCCG